TAACTCTTCTTCTACATGACTGATCGAAAGCCTTCTATCGAGTCCATCGATGACTCTTCAAACCATGATGTTTACATGTGTTCCTACCCGGTCATGGGCTTCGCACCTGGGTTGTACCGAATTACCTTGACCGGGTCATCTCGATACATAGTCTTCCCCGTTGCTACGTTGACTTGGCACCCACCCGTAGGGATGGGCGCAGTTAATAATAATAATTTGTGGTACTATCAGAATCTATCATAGATTGCATTTATTTAAACGGTTCAGTATCTGTATGGGATGAATCCTCAAAATCATTCGATACCATTCAATTTTAAAATGGAACGGTACAATACCATACCATGCCATACTCAAATTGTGTCAAAAAATTAAACATGCATAACTCAAATAAAATTAAAACAAAAAAACAATTTTGTTAAAAAAAGCACAAATTTATTTATGATGAAATGATTTCAAATATAAAAGGATTCTGAATAAAAAGAATAAAAAAATAGCGAGTCTTGCTAAGTCCGTGATAATCAGTTTTAAATTTTGTATCAATCCCGTCGTATTTGTTATTGGTTTGATTTTAGTTTGGGATGGAAAAAATAAATCTCAATTAAAAATACTATAAATGGTTCGGTACCATCAAGATCTGATATGGTACCAGGTTTGTTAGTTTGATTTTTTTTGCCCACCCCTACCCACATGGGTGGGTTGTAGTTAGATTGGACTCGAGTCACGGTCTGGGTGGAATACCCCCATCAACCTTCACATGAAAAAGGGTGATGGATACCCTAGAATGGGGTATCAAACCCAACGAAAAAGCGGCCCAACCCAGTCATGCTTAGGCCCACCTAGTTGGGTGAAAACAAAAGGAAACTGAAGTCTCAAGAATGCCGCTACTGCGTCAAGTTACACTCGGCCCTGCAAGATATGTTCGGGCTCGAACCACCCATGGCCGGCCTCTTGTCAGGAGACTCCAGGAGGCAGATCATGCGTACTCGGCCTCCGCTTGAGGTGCTAGTGGACCAAGCCCGTAAGCATGGGAGCTGCCTAATCAGTCAAATCAAGGGGCCCATGATTGGACCCCTACCACACCTCCATCAGAGTAGTTCTAGCCACCCTACTTGTAACCTACTTTGTATAGCCACCCTAGAAATAATGATGTGGTTAGGCACCGCCAATAAACAACCAAATTTTAGTGGGTTCGATCCGTTGGGCTCTAGACTAACGATCTGGAACCCCATTGTAATTTGTATATAAATCCTTTCTTGAGAGAAAGGAAGACAAGCTCTCTGGCATACTAATACTTAGAATCTTATTTGATTCCCAACTTAAGATCAGATAGGAATTTTAATAGATGTTATTAAACAAGTTAAGAGGTGTGGAGTGCTTGCTCGTTCAACGATTTTAGAAATTCCACAGCGGGGGTTCGGGGGCGGCAACCCCTAGTAGCGGGGTCCTAAGAGGGATCCAAGGCGCAGAGCCCCTGCTGAGTCGAGCTACCAGGTCCTTCGGATTTTTGTATTCGGAGTCTAAAATATGTAATTTTCGAATGTGTGAAATACGTACTCAAATAAGACTTAAAACAGTGAACTATTCGAATAAATGCACATTTATTTGAATAGTTCAGCACAAGCTTGGTTTTGGAGAACCCTAGCTATACGAACAAATTCCCATTTATTCGAATAGGTCAGCACATGCCTGGTTTTTTAAAAACCCCCAACTAATCGAACTGTATGTGTTGTGACAATATAGAAGTTTGCGTTGTGACAATATGGAACTGTATATTGGCATCCATAATATTTTTTGGTATTATATGTTGACATTATTGCTATTGCAACTTTTATTTTTAAAAAATGTCCAATTGACCTGAACTGTTTTTATTTTGGACATTATCGCTTTATGAAAATCCTTCAGATTTTCGTAATCAGATTCTAAAATATGTAATTTTTCGAACATGTAAAAAACATACCCAAAAAGGCTTAAAACAGTAAATGTTTTTGAATAAATGCACATTTATTCGAATAGTTCAGCACATGTCTGGTTTTGTAGAATCCCAACTGTTCGAATAGAATAAATGCCTATTTATTCAAATAGGTCAGCACAAGCCTCGTTTTTTGGAAACCCAGTACTATTCGAATAGTGTCCAAAATAAAAAAATTTAAGTCAAACTTTACTCACTTTCTTTTCTTTGTTTGTTACTCATTTGATAAAATTAAATATTCATCTCAATTGTATAGGAAATAATTTACTCATATGTAAATTTTATTTTTTTACTCTACGATTATTTCTACCCCCTAACCCCCTGTAAACTCCCTACCGAGTCCCGACTCCAAATCACCCCCCACCTACGTCAATCGCACTCGTAAGTATAATTGACTTTAAAGTCAAAAGTTTTGACTTTAAAGTCAATTATATTTACGTGGTGCAATTGACGTAGGTGGGGGAAAGATTTGGGGTCGGGACTCTGGGGGGATACCAGATGGTTGGAATCATCAATTTTATGAATAGATCTCCGTAGGAGAGCAGTGGCTTATGTGGCCACTGGGTTGCAGTGGTAACAGAATGTAACCGAAGTAACTTTAAATACATATTTACTCTGCACATACTTACGTATTCAAAATAAACCTTGGTTCCCATGACATTGGGAACCGATGTCATGGGATGACCCGAGAGCATTCTGGTGTCCCGTTTGTAAAATTGACGGTTCTTACCCCCTAACCCTCAGTAAACCACCCCACCCCAACCCAAACACATCCTTCCACCCCCTTCAATTGCACCCTACAAATTGATTTGGACTTTAGAGTCAAATTTTGACTCTAAAGTTAAAATCAACTTGTGGGTGCAATTCAAGGGGGTGGAGGGGTGTGTTTGGGTCGGTGCGGGAGGGGGTTCAGTGGTGCATCCAGAATTTGGAGTGACTCGGGGCAAAAGTAGTAAGATAGTTTGAGGATAACGCCCTCTTTTTTTATTAAATTGAAGTAAATTATTAAAAAAATAAGTTTTTAATACTCCTGGTTTTCTTAAAACACTTCCTCTTTGATTTTTTTTATTTTTTCCCAAAACACTTTAACTTTCTATCAATAAACTATATTACCACTATGTTTTCTTATCCTACCTATTAGAGCATACTTTTTCAGTAATAATCTACTATCACATTTTACATTTATCATTTATATCAAGGGCAAAATTAAAAAGTCAACCACAAATATACACTATTTATCTCTCCTAAAAGTCAAAATATAAACCATTTTATGAAATGAAATGAGTGGAGTAAAACATTCAAATAATTAATGAAAAATCTCAAAAGTACTCTTTATAATTTTACTTTCTCTTGAAATTTTTATTTTCAAATTATCTTCTAGTAGTATTATAGTTTAATTTTTATTTTTTTATTTTACGTTTAAATAATTTGTTCGTTTCAAAAAAATTTTAAATAGTTTTTTACTTGAATTTTTTTTATTGAGGGCAAATTATTTTTTCATTGAGGACAATATTAGTTTTTAGAGAAATTTATAAAAACTAAATTTCATTGGGGGCAAGTGCACCCATTAGTGAGTGAGTGGATCCGCCCAGGGGGGTTTACCGGGAGGTTAGGAGGTAAACATCGTCAATTTTAAGAACGGGACACCAGAACGTTCCTGGGTTATTCCACGACATTAGAAAAATGCCCAATGTCATGGGAATCTTGCCTTTCAAAATATTTATATTCAAGTATAAAGTTGTAAAAATAGTTTTACTTTGCTCAATAACCACACACAAATATGAGCAAAAAAATAACCACACACAAATAATGCTTCGTACATCCCTTGCTTAAAAAAATCAAATACAAACTCCACACCTTTTTTTTCTTTGTCTTTGTACGTACGGAGTATTATATACGGAGTACATGTTTTTATTTCTTTTTTTTTCTCTTTGTGTCCACCAAAAGATCAGATTTGCAACAAGGCATTTTATAAATAAGGACATAAAAGTAATAGAGTAATACACTAAAAAATGTACCCCAAATGTACACCACCTCCTCCATTATCACTTATTTTTATTTATTTCTTTATTTATTATTTTACTTGCCAAATTATGTGGTGATGGAGGGAGTGTGGTGCATTTTGAAAGCAATAATATCACCTGCCAAATTAGTGCTTCAAAAATTGGCTTTTGGAGACTCTACCGCCGCCCATTTGCCAAACATCACTTCAGCTGTTAAAATAGTCCAACAGTGGTCAGTACAGCGGATTTTTGGCTGAACCGCCATTTTTCCAAGCGCCCCATTTATGAAATTAAAAAAAAAAGAAAAGAAAAGGAGCTGAAGGTATTCCCTAACCCTACTTGCACCCGCCATTTCTACTGAAAATCTCTCCTTGTTTTTTTTTCTCCGTTTGTTGAAACTTGGAAGTGATCAGCTCGAAGTTCTCCCATTCCTTCTCAAGCTAGCTATTACTCAAGAAGGTATTATTTCCCAAATACTTTTAAACTGATTTTTTTTTTCCACTCTTGCTCTTAAAATGTGTATTGGATGAACAGTAGGGGAGCCACATAAGCTCTCGAGTGGACTGAATTTTGATAACAGAGTGTACATGTAATACTATGATGTTCAATGGAATTTGTAGTTTAGTTGGCCAAGGGTTATGGTATTATATCTTGTGATTGTAGTTTGAATCCCTCTACCAGCATTAAATAAAGTTCATTTAATTTATTCCCTATTCCCAACATTGACCCCACTCCATTAGATTTCCAGTGGCCAGCATGAAAACATTCATAAGATAGATCCTTCATCTCTGTGCTGGAGTTTTCCAATTTATTTTTTTTAGTTTTAAAAATGTGAACTTGTTTGATCACATTTCTTCATAAGGGAATCTGGGAATCCACTCAACTAAATTTCAAGGAGCTGGTTATCTAAAAATTCCAACAGGATGTTCACAGCATCTTCTGAAATCTAAAATCTGCCTTAACAAGGCAGTGGCATGGAAATTTGAGTTTTCTTATTTCATGCTAGCTTTCTCTACTTCAAGTACTGACCTAACATAGTCCTTTTTTAGGCTTTGGAATTGACAGCCTGTTTTTGCTTTGTACCACTGTGCGTAGATTGATTATTTGCATTTACTTTTGGAAAAAAATTTACAGGTTGCGGCATTTGGCCAGGATGCCTCAAATTCCCATTCAAGTGATGCCCAAAGGAATTCTCAACGAAGGGGGGACATGCCATTTTATAAGCGTTCTCCAAGCTTTAATCTCCGTGGAGCCTTTTAAGGCGATATTCGAAAATGGTCTTGCTGGTGTCCATGAGTTGGGCGATTGCAAAGAAATGGACTGGCAGTTTTCTTGCACCTTGTGTGAACTCCATGAGTTCATGAAGTCATACCAAAAGGCTGATTCAAAATGTGATCCCATGCGCCTCGTATATGCATGGTGGTTCAATCAAGATGATATGGGGAGGATACAATTTGGTTACGGCGATTTTTGGTGGAATTCTTTGAACAGCCTCCTCCTACAACTCCACGAGGAAGATAAGCGATCAACTAATGCATGCGGCACCGATTTTGGATGCGTGTCTCACTTCCCATTCAATGGGATAGTAAGAACTACCTTCAAGTGTCCGCAATGTGACCAATTTCCATCTTCTATGATGCGTCCTTTTAACTACTTGGAGCTAGAACATGGTCGGACAGTTGAAGAGGGTTTGAAAAATTATTCACACATGGCTATGCAATCGGTGGATGGTTCCGAGTTCTCACACTGCAGCCATAAAGTCTTGTGCTACGAACTCATTCAAAACTACCCTAGGGTATTGTGTTTGAAAGTTAAGGACAAAGAAAATTATGAGTTCGTGGGTGACAACATAATTCTAGACAGTATTAAATACAAAGATGAGCTTGATTTTGGTTGCATTAAATATGAACTGAAGGCCGTCATCATTCAGACTGCATGGCTTGAAGATGGTGAAGAGGCCGGGCACATAATGGCCCTTACCAAGATCAAGCATAATGGTCAAAATCAATGGTTTTGCTGTGATGACGAGAGCGTTTCTATCATTTCCAAGAAAAAGAGAAAGGAAGAATCAGCTACAGGCCTATTTTATGTCCGGGCTGATTGGGAAGCTACGGACGAAAATGACAAAAAACAGCAAGAGAGAGACTATGAAACTGAAAAGCATCGGAGCAAAGAAATCAACAGGAAATGCTTGAAAAGGAAGACGCCCGATTTCAGGAAGTAATATGTTGCTGCATTACAGGTACATATTATTTTTAATTAAATCACACAACTTGTGAATGCTCAGTAGAACAACAATTAACAACAAACACTACCAGTAAATTATTCAAAGGGATAAAATTGTGCACATCCAAGGAGTTTCTTTTGGTGCTAGCTAGGGATTGTTTGCAGAGCAGCATTTAACAAACTTGAATGCATCCAATTCTAGTTTTTGAATTCTGCTGTTTTTGCATTTTTTTTCTTCCAGATTCTCAAGCTATGAAGAATATCATGTAGAGTTTTGCTTTTGGGTGATCAAGAATCGTCTCTCAAGTTGTACCTAACTACGGAGTCGTATTTTCTAATGGCATTTTGTTTTTTGGATGATCAAGAAGAGTAGTATCGAGCATCCTTTGGAACCGTCAGGATTCATCATTGCTTGTACCTACAATTCGTCTGGCGAAATCCTCTGAGAACTCACTGTGCTTCAAAACAAAGGAATGTTAGTAAGAATTGAGGGTATTTTAAATAAAGCAAAGGCAAGGTACCTTACCGCGTGCAATTTTTGAGCGATGGCTAGGAGAAGCTGCTCAGCAGACATCTCTGCATATTTGGGATCAACACAGTGGGGATTCTCCTTCCTCGTATTTGGGATCAACACGGTGGGGATTCACTCATCCTAGTTAGGGACCCGATGCGTCTCATTCCTGAAGCTAAAAGCCTTCTTGGTGGCCGGATCTCCCTTCAACAAGGCCGCACAATCTTTCTCAAGAGCAGAAGTGGTGGCCGGAAAAACATCTTCACTTTCAGAGAGCCGGTCTCCCCATTGGAGTTCGCCATCAAAGGGGAAATCGCCCTCGAAAAACTCAATAAAGACGAATCGTGTCTTCCATTTTTTATGACCTGGCGGGACGTCAGAGATGAAAGATCTATTTTATCGGGGGTGAAAGTACACTAAGCCAGAGTAATTGATGTTACCCGGTAGGACGTCGAACATGAAGAGAAAGAGTTCTAGGGAGGGGGTGTTCTTTTTTAAGTTGCAAATATATGTGAAGCAGTTTAGTAGCCCATGGCCATTTGAGGTCAACTGACCCGGGAGTATAGAAAACCGTTTGCATATCTAGACGAGAAGGGGAAAGAGGATCCCAGTGTCCAATGAAGCTAGATGGAAACCTATCTGTGGTCTTCGGTGGGGATCTATGATGTTTTGATGGTTGTAGTTATAATGAAAGATGTATCCCCGGGGCATCAGACTCCGCACCTTATTCAGTAAAACTTTGGTGATTTTTGTGGGGATGCAAAGGACGGCTCGAAAGTCCAGGGCATGATAACGGAACGCGTCCAATGACGCGATAATTTGAAATGGGGTCTGGGGGAGAACTTCAAAAATACATTATGATTCTGGAGGGTAACCCAAAAAAGGAAGAGGCTAGGGGGAGGATCCTAATATCTAAATTTTTAAAGTTGAAACCATGTTGATTTTGGAGCTAGGTGCTAGGAGGAGGTTCGAGATTGGCTTCCGATACCCGACAGTACTTTGCGTTCGAGGGATGAGTCATGCTCAAATACTTTCCAGTTTTGATTATTCTCAATAAACTGGTAAGTGGAGGGCTTATTAATGGGTATATTACATACCTAGGTGTACCCGTTAGTACTGAGGTGACCAGTCAACCGTGGTGTCGGGTGATCGGTCACAAATTTGGTTTTCAAGACTCAGCTTGGCGGCTATTTGGGGACGGCTTGGGTGATCGGTCACCCCCGGACTAAGGTGACTGGTCACGGTTTTGGTCTTCAAGGATGGACATTGGAAACTATTTTGGGGACGATGTTGGGTGACTGGTCACCCCTAGAGTTAGGTGACTGCTTACAATTTTGGTCTTCGAAGGTGAATGTTGGAAGCTATTTTAGAGATGGTGCTGGATGACAGGTCCCCCCCGGTTGGGTGACCGGTCATTATCTTGGACTTCTTGTAAAATTTGAGGAATGAAGTTTCGGGCTCCATACAATTTGACCAGTATCACTTTTAGGTTGCAACCTGGAGGTCACGATTGGACGAATTCGCCGCCCCCAAACCTTGGTATCTAGGAGATCAACAGAGGGACCCACATCTATTACCCAAAAGATCAATGTGGAAAAGTCCTTTGGCACCACCCTAGATATATTTTCAATCAATATATTCTAATTGTATGTTCATGGATGTTGTCTGGTTGTTTGCCCTTAAGTGAGCAGCTTCCATGCACCTACTGAGCCTCCTCTAATCTTTAAATAATCTGTGATAGAGAGAGGATGAACATTCACTTCTACTTCCACAATACCCAGTACACTCTAGAGAAAGAGTAAGAAATATATTCAGTCTCAGGAGATTATTCCCGGTTTAAGTGATTCTTTATTGTGTTCATTACTATTGCGCTTATCTTTATTTACCTGGTTCGGTCTCCCCTACCCGACCCAATTACCTACTTTTCGTAACCGGTGGAATTTACACCATCAAGGCCTTTACTTGATTTTTAGTTCAGTGAAATTTGTGTGATTGTGGTTTATGAAAAAAAGAGAAAATGATATAAATCACCCAACTTTTTTATTAAAAAGAATGTGAAAGAAATTTTTGAAACAACCATGGAAAGTAGAAAGATAATTACGATGAGAAAAAACTGTTTTTAATTTTTTCAAATGTATTTTGATTCTAGTGTGATTTAAACGGGTTTTGATTAATTATATATAAAGATATTAGTAGTATAATGATTTAAAGTATAAAAATCCCATAATTCTTTTATGGTATGTTTGAGAACACGAATTTGGATTTCAAAGCTGAATTTGGCTCAAACTCCATGTTTGGAAAACTTAAAAATTTTGAATATGGATTTGAATCAAATTCTTCTCATTCATAACAAAGCTTAATTTAAAATTCTTGCACCTCCCATTATCATTTGAAATTTAAGATTTCAAATTTTGGAATTGAAATACATGAATTGAAATGAAATGCTAGTTGCCAAACACTACCTTATGGTACGTTTGGGAACATAGATTTGGATTTCAAATCTGAATTTGGCTCAAATTCCATGTTTGGGAAACATTAAAAATTTAAATTTGGATTTGAATAAAATTCTTCTCATTCATAACAAAGCTTAATTTGAAACTCATGCACCTCCCCTTATTATTTGAAATTCAAGATTTCAAATTTTGGAATTGAAATGCATGAATTGAAATGAAATGCTACTTGCCAAACACTACTTTATTGAAAAAAGGTTGAATTTATTTTTTAGAGTAAATTCAATAAAAGGTCCCCCAGTTATAGATCATTTTACATATTTAGTCCCTACATATCAAATATTACTAATTTAGTCCCCAATTATTATATTCATTTCCATGAATGATCCTCTGTTAACATTTTTGTTAAGAACGTGGATAAAATTGTAAATTTACACTCCTTTCTCTTCTCAATTAAGCTTCCTCCCTCTCCTCGCACTCCTTTCCCAAACCCGTCGCTGAGTTTGAAGCTTTGAACCCAAAACCAAAATCATCACTCTTCTCTCAATTGTTTGCCTAACTGGTGGAACCCAAATTCGAAACCAGTAACCTTCATAGATGAGTTTTAATGTTTATTTTCTTTGCAATTTTTTGAGACTAACTAATAAAATTTATCCAAAAAGCTTATTGGTTTTGATTTTAGGGTCCACCAGAAAGACTAATAATTGAGAGAAGAATGATCATTTCAGTACAAGAGGAGGGAGGAAACTTAATTGAGGAGATAAAGGAGTGTAATTTACAATTTTATCCATGTTCTTAACAAAAATGTTAACAAAGAACCATTCGTGGAAATGAATATAATAATATGGGACTAATTTAGTAATATTTGATATGTAGGGACTAAATATGTAAAACGACCTATAACTGGGGACCTTTTATGGAATTTACTCTTTTTTTTATATAAGTTTTTCATAAATATTTAAAGAGTTACGGAGTATATTATCAATCAAAAGTTTGACAACAAAAGTAAAATAAACAGTTAAAAGTTGTGGAATCATCTAGATCATTTCAATGAACAAATAGAGTATTATATTATAATCGAGTAAATATCACACTAATAAACTACTAAAGCACAAATAGTAAATTTATTTATTCACATTCAATTAGATCACAAAATATTATAAATCATTTAATTTTTTTTTACAGAATTAACGCATTATGATTTTATTGTCATTGATTAATATTATTATAATAATAATAATAATAATAATAATAATAATAATAATAATAATAAAGTTAGAAGACATCGAAAAAAGAATGAAAAAAAGGTTGAAAAATCTAAAAAATTGAAGAAATATGAGATTACAATTCAGTCCAAATTAGCGTAGTAGCCTAAATGCATGCATTAGATAGAGAGTGATTTAAATGAATGTGTAATAAATGAAGCAACGTAACAGCCGAGATACCTTAAAAATTAAAGATGATCAACACAAACCGCATTATGCTCCCACATTCAGCAGCAAACACCAGAGCCAAAGATCAGCAAATTCCAAAGATCAGCAAATTGCCGGAAGCACAGACTTAAAAATGCTGTTGAAAAAACCTAGTTATTTATTTCTAATTCTAAAAAAATCAATACCAAACTTTTACTATATATTTTAATTGCTTAGGTTAAGATCACAAATTGAATTGTTTTCTTAAAAGACCTGAATTGATTTAAACAATTCAATTTAAATCCAGATTTCAATAGTTAAAGGGATTCAAAGCATATGGATTTAAACAAAACACGAATACTTCATCGTAAATGATGGCGGTGGCATTAGCAGTTACAAATTTACAATGGCAACAACAATGAAAGGTGGCGTCAACAACCTCATTCATATATAACTTATTTTAAACACTTGTTTTGCCTTCAGCAACCTTCAAAATCTTATACTTACCAGTTTCTAGCCTTCAGAAATTTTGACAGTAATTTCTAACCTTCATTTTTCTTCAGCCTTCCACATTCAGAATCTTCTTCTCCTCCTCCCTTTATTTATAACAGTCTATTTCAGAATCTTCTTCCTCTTCTTCAGGGGTCCATTCACCTCTTTGCAACTGGAATCTAGTTTCTGTATCATCTTCCTCAAACCTTCAATCTCATCTCTGTAACTAGCCTCAATTTCTTGAACTATATTTTTCAAGCAATTACACTCCTCTCTGCACTTTCTAGCCTTCAATTTCTGAATCTTCTTCCTCTTTTTCAAACGCTCAACTTCCTCGTTGTCGCTAGCCCTCACTTCCTGAAGCATATTCTTCAAACGTTCAATTTCGTTTTCATAATCTTTTTGTGTTTTCTTTACAACAGGAGATACTTCCTTAGCTAAGCGCCATGCCACAACTGTCATGTCCGTATATTTAGACTGCAATAGAACGTGTAACGCTTCATGCCCATAGATAGAAACAAAAGTAAAGCGTAGTAAAATTTTAGAAGAGAATGGCAAGACCTGAGAGGAAGTCTGGTACAATTTCTGCTCAAAGCATTGCGCCGCTTTTTTGAGGTCCTCATTTGACGCATCATTGACTACTCGTGTTCCTAGCTTTAGATCTCGGAGGCATACGAAAACATCAAAGCTAAAGGGAAGAAAAATATGAGTTATCATATATAAATGGAAAGACAAATTGTTGTATGCCGGGAGGTGTGGTGTGGTGTGGTCCGACAGGTAGATTAAGTTTTTTATATCTTAGGTACAAGTTTTCAGATTTTCCAGATTTTCAATAATGAAAGTAGATCTGGTAAGCATTAGGTAGATCATGCAGGTGAGCAGGTCTCAAGTATGGTCATGGATCTATTTTCTGAAAGAGTAAGGTCTGAAAGCATTCTTTTTGTTTTATATCACTCTGCAATGTTTTCCTCATTTAGTTTGGTATTTTTTATCCATTTCATATCTTGAGGTATTTTGCTCTCCAGCTGACACACTTTACCTTTGTGCTCTAGATTGTAAGATTTCAAGAGAAACACAACCATATGGGATGGAGTATCCCTGATGTCTATGTGCAGGTTTACAACTATTCTATTTGGTTCTATGTATCTTTTCTATGTGTAGGAAGATACAACACTCAAACTTTCTTTGAATATGCTTTTTACCATCTAGATTATAGGAAGCTGATAATGACAGCTAACTTCGAGTACCACAGGTTGACACTACACATACATCCATCAATACTTAATTTCCGGATTGATATTTTGCATTTCATACTGTGAAATAGTTCAGCATATTCTACATTGTTTACATGTGTATTCCAGGCATCAATAATATAAGTTCTGGATGTGTTAGCTTGCTATGACTTTGATACATCTTACTATTGATATATAGTTATGAAGTCTATGGGTCAGTCCCCTTTTATTCAAATGATTCAAGATTTATGCCTTCTGTCTTATTTCTTACTTTGTCGGAATTTCACCATTCTTGAGGAAGCTAAGAAACATCAAGAAAATAAGCAGGCCAAAAACCCCTAAACCTGGAACATCTATCTTTACCCTCATCACAATGCCCTTCTTCAAGCAATAAGTGCATCTTCAAAACCAGTAACTAAGTTAATGAAATTGAAGACTTGAAAGTGGAAATCCCTTCAATATTTTCATCCTTTCTCTTTTAGTGCAAAGAAAAAAAATCTGTATTGTCAATAACCGACTTGAAGGAAAAATCATACGAAAGAGTTAGATTTATGTTCAAACACAGAATGGGTTTTCAACAAATGAGGTGTTTTTTGGAGCAAATGAGGTGTTTTTTTGAGCAAATGAGCTGTCAATAACCAGATCTGAAAGAAACGCAAAAGAATATATTCACAAAGTTTGCAAGAAAAAAATGGATGATTTGTAGATTTAGAGAGAGAGAGAGAGAGAGATGTTGGGAGTTGAAATCTGTCAAGAGAAAATGGGAATTCTGTAAAAGATGTCATTCTCCATAAAAGAGTGAGAGAAGGGTTTGGCTTCACATATTGCTATGTTGTAAACTCATTATCTTTATCTATACAAAACAAATGGGATAAAAATAAACAATGTCATTTTCCTGCCCAAAGTTACAATACCTTTTCTTTGTGTAGGAAGATACAACACTCAAACTTTCTTTGAATATGCTTTTTACCATCTAGATTATAGGAAGCTAAAAATGACTTCTAACGATGATAGAGAGAGATAGTTTAACGATGATAATTGCTTTAGAAAATAGCATTTGCATATTAGTCATGCCATTATTGCTCTAATTTGTTCACTAATTTTAGCTCTCTTTACACACAATTCATCCCCTACCCTATGTATTTTAGTCATTGAGCATAGAAAACTCTCATTTTTATTTAGAGCACAACTTGCATATAAGAGATTAAGTGTGAATTTCCTCAATAAAGACCAACTTTAGTTTAAGTAACTCAAATAACAACTTAAACAATTTTGAATGCTTTATATAGTTAGGGGATCAGATCATTTTTTTACTGTCTTCCATCTCTATTTCATAGGAAGATTTGTGATGATGTTGTAAATTTTATCTGTTGTGTTTATAGAGTTTTTGAATCTAAAGGCCTTCAAGATCACCTATATGCTTTGGCCCATTCTTTAAGGAAAGAAGGGACAATTGTATACCCTTCTCCTCTTATGTGGAAGGCTACGAAATTCACATATATGTTTATATAGATATGAGTGCGATAATTACGAAGGAACATGTTTCTTATATTTTTCATTTTCCACACATTTTCAGTCTTAGATACTTCGGATGAATTTGAGAGGTTCATCAAAATAATAAATATATTTTGGTGCTAAAAAGATCAAGATTTTCTTAATAATTAGTTGTGCTTCATTTTACCTTCTTAATTGCTTAGTATATATTCTTCTGTATATTTTAGTATTCTTTTATTTTTTAGCCGAGCTTTTTTAGCAACTACAGGGATAACATGAGTTGTTGGGGGAAATGTCTCATCTCAACCTAAAAGTAGTGCAAAAATTCATAATTTCTTCCTTGGGGTAATCTTTATTAAGTATCCCAAGTTTCAGCAATATAAGACTTTCATTCTTAAACCATTTTAATTGAGTTAATTGTTTGCTTTTAGTTTTTATTTGCTCACTCACATCAATGAGGGACTTATCTTCCTCAACCACTCAATTTCTTGATATTTGTTATTACATATTAGTAAAAGTGCTTTCATTGGTAAAGTAATTTTTTTTATAATTTCAACAGTTTCCATGCAAAAAACTCAAGTGACTAAGGTGTTGAATGAGTCAAACATTGAAAGGTCTGAATGACTACAATCTGGAATATGTTGGTGGGTTTATTTTAACATATAAGCAATTTTTAGAGAAATATGAACTTTAGTAAAAAATATCTAATGATTTAAGCTTTTCTTAATATAAAGGCTTTGATTTATTGACTAATTGTTTGGCAGAAATTTGGTCTTATAGGTGATTTTGATCTAATGGGAGAAGAGATTCTAGCTTTCTATTTAAAATATGCCAAGTTAGTAGCCTTTTTCATGTTCACAACCGGTCACTTTTATTGTAAGCAAGTTATGAGCATTTGACATTTTTCAAATATGGTCCATTTAGACCATTTGGTATTTGCCCCTGATTGAGCATTGAATGTGTATTCACCTTATGAATGTATAAAGATTTGAGCTTGGTGTTATTATAACCCATCTGTAATAATAGGGGTGATGATAAAAATGAAAATTGAACTCTTTAAACTTGAGCATGCTATGATAATATGTTATTTTTACTACATTTGAATTGGTTTATAGTTGAGCATGCTATGATGGTAGATTATTGTCACTACATGTGAATTTGGATTTGATCCCTACATAATTAATTGCTACGTCATTTGCAATTATTTGGTTTGCTTAGGTCTCTACTCTTGAGAAGGTGAACAAGTTGTCATGAAAGCAAAGAAGAAAAAAGAAAACAAAAAAGAAGAATGTATCGCTGAGAAAACACGAAGAAAAAGAACAAGAAGCTGAAAAGGGAGCCTTTTGGCTATTGCCATTGTTGACCATATAATACAATTTGAATACAATTAGAAAGTACTTATTTTCATTTGTAAAGAACAATATTCTTTATAAAGCACTTATTTGATATGTACAATAAATTATTTTAATACTTTTAAAAATAATGTGGCAAATCTCTCATGGAACTTGCAGAGGGGTGGGGGGAGGGGGGTTATTGAAGATGATTAAGTCTATTGATTTCATATTTGAAGACCGCCAGATAATAATGTACCATTGTCATTAACTAAGAAAAATAATGACAGTAACTAATGTGGGATTAACAAACGTTAAGGCCACAAAAAGTCAGTCTTTAGTCATGGGCAACTATATGTTGCCGCCTCTCGAGTAACTAATCGTCATATGTTAAAGATGTTAACTTGCAAGGACGAAGTACCCACTTCGAATGCCACAACAGACGTTGTTTACAAAGAAGTTTTTCAGAACCTTTAATCTCTTCAACATTGCAGTTTTAAATCAATATTCATAACATTTATTTTGTAATCCTTGAAATATTTCCATACGAATCAAATATTTTCATCAATATACGTCATTTTTTTCATATTACGAAATCACTATAACTACTACACTCATCTAAATTACTAGCCGTGCAACACACGGGTACAGATCTAGTGTTGTCGAAAGAATGGCAAAAGAAATTAAGGCTCCGTTCCGTTCAACTTATTTTTTCTGATCTGATCTGATTCTAATAAAGTCTGATCTAATCTGGTCTGATCTGATTGGATCTGATCTGATTAATTATGATTTAATTTAAAATTTCAAATCAATAATTTAATTTGACTTTATAATAACGTTTGAAAATTGTAATGATAATTCATATTATAATATAATCAATATTTTTTTATTTAATGATTATTTTTTAATAAAATAAAAATAGTTAATTCATAAATTAGAAAAATCATTCATATTATAATGTAATAATATTTTTTATTTTATGATTACTCCCTCCGTCCCTAAATGGATTACAATTTTTTTTCTCTCCTCTCGATAACTTTTGTTTGTTTACACGATTTCATTAAGTATTTGATAAAATAAAATATTCTTGTCATCTCTTGTTTCGTAGAACTTTTGACGTAGTTTTTTAATCTATAATTTTTATACCTTATTGATATACCAATTTGTAAATAAATTGATTTCAAAAATTAGGAAATTTTACTCTGTAACCCGCAATTTGTAATTCTAATAATTAAGAATTACTTTCTCGGTTTTCTATTTAACCTATTTCTAAAGTTTATTCTTTTTCATTTTTAGGAACAATAATAATAATAATAATAATAATAATGATGATAATAATAATAAGAATAATAATAATAAGTGTAATAATAATATTAATAATAATTCTTGATGGGATCTGATTTTAATAAGTCCTGATCTGATGTGATCTGATTGGATCTGATCTGATCTGATTGGATCTGATCTGATCTGATTGGATCTGATTGGATCTGATCTGATTAGATCGGATCTGGTCTGATCTGATCTGATTTTAATAAGAATAAGAAAAAATAAGAAAAAATAAGTTGAACGGAACGGGGCCTAAGCAGAGACAATGATGTTGTTGACAGATGCCAAAACTCCATATAAAGATAGAAATAAATAAGAGTAAATTTCATAATTGGTCCTTTATAACAGGGGGGTTTCCATATTTAGTCCTCTATTATCAAATATTACCCCCGTAGTCCTTTTTTTAAGGGTACCTTTCCACAAATGTTCTTTTTTTTGATCTTCAGCTGTGTTGGTGTTAATTTAAAGGCTAAAAATATAATTTGACATTATGACTATGATTGTGGGCTAGGATTCTGACGAAAGATCACATTTGTACACTATAGTTGTCGTAAAAAGCGACTGTAATTCACAAACGATGCAAACGGAACAGCCTATGAAATTGTGTATGACAAAAAAGATATATTATCATTGTAAAATTACACTTTTAGCTTTCGAATTAACACCGACATGATAGAAGATCAAAAAAAGGACTATTTGTGGAAAGGTACCCATAAAAGAAGGACCACTTGGGTAATATTTGATAATAGAGGACTAAATAGGGAAACCCTCCTATTATAAAGGACCAATTATAGAATTTACTCAATAAATAAATAAATGAAGAATAAATAACAAAGGGTATTCTTACATCCGGTCTCGGACTAAAGTCCGAAATTCAGGAATTATTGCATCCGGACACCGAGAGGGATTTCCATAAGGCAGAGAAGACTGCTCCTTCAGAATATGATCCGGAACTGCAATTCAAAGTCAATTGAGGTCAAATTTTGACGGCAAATCGGAATCACAATTCAATTGAAATAGATTGCTAGAGTTGAGGCTATGGATACTTGGTTCCCCTAAAAATTCCATCGCTTTGCTCCAGATGTGACGCCTTTCAGGTGTGTTTTCAACTGGAATTCAAAACAAATCGGATCAATCAGAATAAAAACGCAAATCGGTTTACTTGCAAATTTCTATGCGACCTAACCTTGAGTTCTCCCAATACCATACCGAACAGAACCCGCCGGAGGTGTGAATATCTCAAGACCATCCACCAACCTGACCGTCCTCTCCCGAGGCTCTTCCATGCTAGGGTTCATGTTGCTCTCCAACAGCAGATGCAGATCAAACTTATTGGGCCTGTTTTATTCTATAAACAAAATGACCGATTATTGAGTCACCAGGTTGTTATAAAATTTGGTATATGGTATATCTAGATTTACGAAATAGGTAGATCCAGTAATACTCATCTTAAAATAAAATAAAGAAGTATTCATTTTTACATATTTGACTAATAAAATTATAATAAATAATGTAGTATTCATTCTTAAAAACACAATATTCATTCTCAAATAATGAAATGTTCATTCTGAAATAAAGTATTGTTCAATTTTTTTAGAATTAAAAAGTTTAGTAGCATCATTAACTTATGTGAAATTTGCACTAAATAAGACTAAAACATAATGACTTTCTTAATGTAGGACTTGAACTTTTTTATTCCCTAAATAGGACTTAATAATGATCTAGTACGAGAAATAATGCTCAGAAATGATGTACATTTAGTTGAATAATGACTACTTGATAATAACCAAAGATCCTAGAAATAAAAACATATGGTCCTATATTGGGAAAGTCATTATGTTTTAGTCCTATTTAGGTAAATTTCTCTTAACTTATTCCTCTATTCGATTCGGTCTTATTCATTTATACTCTCTGGGCATGGAGAATTTAAAACTCATGTTTATTCATGTTTGTATTTAATAAGAATATGATAATTCTCATAAGTTTTGATACTTCTTCTCCAATCTGCTGGTACTCATTGTCATATACGGAGTATAATAGTTCTCGTATATGTTCTGGGCATTGAATAAAAAGTTTGCAAAATTTACAAAAATATCAGGCTGTATCGAAAGAAAGGTACAGCTGGATGTACCATATAATTTGCCGATGTTATATGATAAATAGATTGTTTAGAATCAATGAATTTTATAAAATTAAATTCACACAGTGTTAAATAAATTTTACTCCCTCCGTCTCTGAGTGTTTGTCAACTTTTATTTTTGCACACCATCCAATGCACTTTTTTAATCTATATGTTGCACTTTTATATCTTGTAATTTGTATATTAAAAAATTATAAAAATTATATATTAATAATCTATATGTTAAGACGAATCAAACAAGATCATGCATGACTATTTTTAAGCCTACACATTGAGAGAAATTGATAAGTCAAAGTGCTTAGATGAACAGTTCCAAAAGTCAAAAGTGGACAAACACTCAGGGACGGACCAAGTACTCCCTCCGTCCGGAAATGTTCTTCCCGTGTTAACTTGGCATGCTTCTGAAAATGTTCTTCTCGTGTTGACTTGGCACGCCTATTAAGGAATAGTAAAAAATGCAAAATTTTCAAAAATACACATACTATAAACTTTTAAATCTTCTTTTATTATTAAAAAAAATACTAAAAAGTAGATTTGTGATAAAATATAAGGGTATTATTGATATTTACCCTTAAAAAGCATACTAAAAAGGGAAATGGGAAGAATATTTCCGGACGGACCAAAAAGGAAAATAGGAAGAATATTTCTGGACGGAGAGAGTAATATATTTTTATCAACGGAATTTATAGAATTCTTGTAAATTGTTTTTTTATCCATGGATTACTTATACATACATTTGAATTACTTTAAAAATCCTTACATTGTTCTATTATTACTTATGAAATTTAACAAAAACTTTAAAAATAATAAAATAAAAATAAATTATGTTTTCGAACATTAATATATTTTTAAACACTATTAAGAGCTATGTAAAAAAGGAGTTATGGAATGATTAACATTTCCCCTTTTCACTGAATGGCCAATGTATGAAAGAAGAATTAGAAAACCTTCTAAATAGGAGTAAAACATATGTCATATCATCAAAATAAGAGTTCAAACTTAAACTCTTTTAAGAGCCTGTTCTTTATGACTGTAAAAAAAGAGCTAGATGTTGGAAAAACTGGAAAAACTAAAAAAAACTGGAAGAACTGAAAGAACTGGAAGAAACTAGAAAAAACTAGAAAAAACTGGAAGGAACTGAAAAAAACTAGAAGGAACTCGAAGGAACTGGAAAAAATAGGACGATACTAGAAAAAATTAGAAAACCTAAAAAACTTTAAAAATATTTATTTTAAATTCTTGTTGTTATAAATTATTATTATTATTATTATTATTATCATTATTATTATTATTATTATTATCATCATCATCATCAGCAGCATCATCACAATCATCATCATCATCAACATAATCATTATCATCATCATGTTATCTTAGTAAATTTCTTTAAGATATAAAAAAAGTATTGTTATTTTTTTAAATACAAAAAACTAGTTTTACAAAAAAATAATTATAATATAAAGTTAGCTTAAATATAAAAATTTTAAATTTTAAAAAGACTGTGTAGTTATATTGCACCTCAATTTATTTAAACAGTATTTATTATAAATAATGTATTTGTAATTATAATTTATATATTAAAACATTTTATCTTAAATATCATACATGTCACATAATCAAACATACTTTTTCTCTCATTATTGACATTTTATTTTCATTGAATTTCTTTCTATGGAATTAAGACTAGAACTTTTTTGTTTACAATTTTTATGTTTTACTCATATTTTAGTCTTTTTCTCTAAATTCTTTTGACTTACAATTTTTTTATAAAAATTATAAAAATGCAATTTTTAAGTAATAAAGGGAAAACTGAGATGTCTTATAAAAAGTTATATTAATAAAATATTCAATGTAACTATATTATCAAAAATTGTTTAGTATAATTTAACATATTGATGTTTTCCTGTTTTATCATGTAGACTAATATACAAAAAAAATGTCTTATTCATATTAAAAAGTTGAAGAAAAAAATAATAAGTGTGAATCGTAAAAATAGTGAGATGAAAAAAATAATTTATAAACTACCGTTATGAATATAACAGTTGTAATAATAATAATCATCATCATCATCACATTGAAATATATCATTTTTAGAGTAATTGGCTAGAAGTAGAAAAAATTTGAAGAAAATAAAAAAAGTTGGAAGAAACTGAAAAAAATTGGAAGGAACTGGAAGAAATTGGAAAGAACTAAATAAAACTGGAAGGAACTAGAAGAAACTGGAAGGAACTAGAAGAAACTGGAAGAACTGGAAGAAACTGGAAGAACTGGAAGAAACTGGAAGAAACTGGAAAAAATGGAAGAAACTGGAAGTTAAGAGTTCAAGCTCTAAAGAACATGCCCTAAATTGGAGTAATTAATTAAGTAATAAAGAAAAAAATAGTATTAAATATCTAATTAATCTCTTTTCTTTTCAGTCCATCTCCTCACGGCCATCCCATTCATCCCTTTTCTCCAAAAAATTGTATTTTCATTACGCATTGTTTTTGTTTGATTTTTTCTTTTTCATTTTTGTATTTGATTGTTTTTCCTTTTAATTTTTTTGTTTGATTGTTATCTTATTAGTTGTGTTTAAATTTTACTCTTAATTTCAGCAAAATTTGGTGATAGTAATAAGAAATTTGACATTATATGTTGAAAATCTTGATATATTATTTTTTTTTTTACATTTTATATAGACGGTATTATGCAATAACATGTTTGGCATCATGCAATGACAGGTTTGTCAATATGCATTATCATCTTTGACATTGTGACTTTGGTTGACATTGTATTAGAATTAAAAGCTTTCTCTATTATTGACAGTGACACCATGGCATTATGGTGGCCACAATGGTAGTAAATTCTGACATTAACAGCAAAAATGGGGGCGATGGAGGCGTCATCCACAACAAATGGACAGGAGAGCGGTAGATCGTGGTGGCGATGACGGTGATAGTGCCGACCGTGGCGGTGTTAGTGATAGCAACAATATAGATGGTGGCCGCATGTAATAGCGATGACAGTAAGAGATTGTGGCGATGAAGTGACGGAAACAACAATACCGACGATGACGGCAAGATTGGCATCAGTGACATGTGCAGCAGTAGCTGTAGCTAATTTAGAATTTTTTTTAATTGATAAAATATATTTAATTTCATTGTAATATGAATATAACTTTTATTTTGGTACATGGTCGATGTTTTACTTTTATTTCACTCCTTAACTCTAAGTCATTAGATTAATTAACTTAATTACTCTTATTTAAGAAAGTTTAGGTTTCAACTCTTATTTTGAAGACATGTCATATGTTTTATTACTAGGTCTTCTTCAAAGGAGAATGGCATTGCAGCAAAAAAGAAGAAACTGTGAAAATCCAAATTAAAACCAAACCCAATTAATGGTGGACAGTATTTCACTTCAAACGATGATTGCAGATTAGGTACCCTAAAAGAAGGGACCCAGATTCACTACGGTGAATCTTTGGTTATCTTACACCGCCATTGCCTCGATATTGTCATAGTAGACGCCGATTCATTTACTTATTAGGGTTTTTGAATCGCTAAGCTTGCGGCGAGGATGTAGCAGATGATTTTGTCGGCGGCAGAGTAATCGAACTGTGTGAGGGTGGCCTTGTCAATGTAGAACCAGAGGGTGTTGGGGCGGAAGACGAGCCAGAGGATGCCAACAACGATGAGCAAATGAAACAATTGAAGAGGTAGCCGCAACGGCAACCACAGGAGGAAAAGAGGCAGAGGATTGGAGTTCACAAAGTCCCTATGTGTGTGCATTTATGTGTGTGTGTGAAAAATAATACTCCCTATGTAATTAAAATAATACTTCTTCTATCTATATATAAATAATTTATGATGTACTCCGTATTACGGAGTATTAAATTTATAATCGTATTCGAATAGTAGCATTAAATCTTTTTTTAGAAAAAGTAGTAGCATTAAATTGAAAAAGAATTACATTTTATGGGTATTTAGAAACATTAAAAGTTTATAAAACAAAAATTGATTTTTTTGTTTAATATTTTATCCAATATTTTCAAAAAATTCAAATGAGTTAATATTTTTGGGATATGTACTTTGTTTTAGTATCAATTGCATTATTAGATAATAGTTTGAATCACAATTTCAACATTATATTTTTCAAAATTATAGAGATGAAGGGACGAACATTATATTTTTCAAAGAAGAACATTATACCGAGTATTTTTCAAAAAATATTTTTGGGATATGTACTATGTGTTCGCCGGTTTAATCGGCGGGTTCTTACTGGTAGCCGTCTTAAAGGCTGGACCGGACCGGTTTGCCTACCGGTTCACCTGTTGGGTCCGGTACGGCTTATAATGCTGGCTTATAGGAATCCATCCCAATCCCGCCACTTGTACCCGTAGATGACGACGGCCAGACTGCTAGCGGCGATACTCCTCCTGGTGGCGGTGTACTGTGCCGTGGACCCATTCGGCCACCGCACAATCTCCGACTTCGTGGTCCACCTTGTGGACCAGGCGCCGTGGTCGGAGCTTCCGCCGGAGAAGGACGCGCGGGATTTGCTCCGGAAGTCGGAAATCAAGTTCCTGCACCAGATTCAAGGGCCGGAGAGCATCGCCTTCGACCCCCGAGGGCGCGGCCCCTACACCGGCGTCGCCGACGGTAGGGTTCTGTTCTGGAATGGGACCCAGTGGATTGAATTCGCTGTTACTTCGCCCAATAGGTCAATATTTTTTGATATCTCATTCAAAACACTCCTCATTTTGGACCCTGAAAATTGTTTAAAAAGTTTCTTTCTTTGGATTGAATATTTGAATGAACTGTTCTAAAGCTGAATTAGACCAATTATATAGCACATATGATTCCAAGATGAGTTTTTTAATGAAGTTTTGTGCTTGAGTTTTATTTGGATGAGACTAAAATACTGTGAATCACAATTTTTTGTTCTCAAATGGAAAGAGGAAACTTAAAGCCAAATCTTTGCTGATACAATTTCAGGTCAAGTATCTGTGACCCAAAGCCGAATCCAACATATTTAACCTACATAAGGAATGAACACATATGTGGGAGGCCTTTAGGGTTAAGATTCCACAAAAGAACCGGCGAGTTATACATAGCAGATGCATACTATGGGTTGATGAAGGTCGGTCCAAAAGGCGGTCGGGCAATGTCACTAACAACTGAGGCTGAAGGAGTTCCGTTCGCGTTCACAAACGATCTGGATGTTGATGATGATGGGAATGTTTATTTTACTGATAGCAGCAGTAATTACCCAAGAAGGTAACTTTCACCCTCTCGCTTTTTACTGCTTCATTTCCAGTAAATTTTATGCTTAACAGCTTAGTTTTTCATAGTCAAGCAATGCTCATTTTGTTTACTCTGCTTCTTTCCGTTTATTGTTTTGGAAACCCTTCCCCTCTTCTCTTTTTACTAAGGGTATGTTTGGAACCCTGAAAATGGTAGGGAAAGGGAAAACAAAACCGTGGCTAGTTGGATCAAAGAAATATGATTGTACGGTTTGTAATTTCTTCCATTTGTATACATTACTAGTCAAAATAGATAAATAGTTTTCTTTATATTTTCCATCTGTCCGATATTCTCCTACATTTTTTATCCATAGCATTTTTTATTTTCCTGTCCCAAACAGACCACTACATCTTCTGCTTTTATATTGTATGCATGCACACTTACTTGAATCTCTCTTGCATTATCAACTTCTTGACTGTTTATTTTCGGTTTCAGAAATTTCAGTCAGTTGACATTCACAGGTGACAATACTGGGAGAGTCCTCAAATACAATCCAAAAACAAAAGAGACGACTGTTCTCGTCCGAAATGTCCAATTCCCAAACGGGTTGTCTCTGAGTAAGGATGGATCCTTCTTCGTATACTGTGAAGGTTTAATGGAAAGGTGCATTTCCCTTCTTGTACTTGGCATTGAAGGCAGAAAATTAATCAAGTGCACAAATTATGTAACCTGCCACATCTATATTGTCTCTGTCTTTATGCTCATTGTAAACCATTAACAAAAGTTAACCAAGACGCTAACTTTGAGTTGAAAATGTGACGAAACATGGCGCGAACCAAATTAATTAGCTAATTCAACCAAATATGTTCTTTACCTCTTTCATTGCAGGCTAATGAAGTATTGGCTGGAGGGTGAGAAAGAAGGGACCTCAGAAGTAATGGCACTCCTGCCAGGGTTCCCTGACAATGTGAGAGCAAATGAAGAAGGCGAATTCTGGGTGGCAATCCACAGCCGGAGGTCGATTTTCAGTCACATGTCTGCTCTGCACCCAAACCTGAGGAAGGCTCTGGTGAAGCTTCCCATCCCCACATGGATCTATCAGCTCATGTACGTCGGCGGAATGCCTCACGGAATAATAGTGAAGTATAGCCCAGAGGGTAAGATCTTGCAGGTGTTGGAAGACAGAAAAGGGAAGGTTGTGAAAGCTGTGAGTGAGGTGGAAGAGAAGGATGGTAAGCTTTGGTTGGGAAGTGTTCTGATGCCATTCATTGCAGTTTACCATCTGGACTGATGGTGGTGGTCGTGGTGGCGGCGGCACTGGTGGTGGTGGCGGCGGCGGCAGTGGTGGTGCATCTGCTTTTCTGCTCTTCTTTTTAATCCAACTTCTCTATCTAAATTAGTTTTGTGGTAGTAAAATGTTCATTTTGTAACTTAGGATTAGTAGGTGGCATTACATTAGTTGAAATTGATGGATGGTGGTTAGATTCACTTGAATGAATTATTTAGAAATAAATACTTAGTTTGTACCTCCTCCATCTCAAATTAAATGTTGTTTGTTTACTATTTACATGTTCAAATTTCATTCACTTTCTTTTTTTTTCCGATAGTCATTTGATAAAATAAAATAGGCATGCCACCACTAATCTTGTAGTTTTTTTAATGTAATAATTTAATAAATAATTTTTATTATTTAATTATATACAATTTTTCATATAAAATGATTTGAAAATAATTTAAGTGAGACATCGTTAATTGAAACAGACAATATAAATTGGAACGGATGGAGTAGTAGCTATAAGTAGTAAACATATCACTCTAGTAACTAGTAAGTTTGAATTATGCCCCTTTGTTTTTTATTGAGATGATGATGATATAATAATAATAATAATAATAATAATAATAATAATAATAATAATAATAATAATAGTGAAATTTGCACTAAATAGGACTAAAACATAATGACTTTCTTAATGTAAAACTTAAACATTTTTATTCCCTAAATAGGATTTAATAATGACCTAGTGGGAGGAATAATGTCCAGTAATGATGGACATTTACTTGAATAATGACTACTTTATAATGACCAAAGGTCCTACATTGGGAAATAAAAACATATAGTCCTATATTGGAAAAGTCATTATGTTTTAGTCCTATTTAGGTAAATTTCTCATATTATTATTATTATTATTATTATTATTAACAATAATAAGATATGAATATAAATAAACAAATTAAGTCATTGTTGGAATAAATTAGAAGGAGCTGGAAAAATCTAGAAAATTTGAAAGAAATTGGGATGAGTTGAACAATAAAATGAGTTAAAAAAAACTAGAAGACGTGAGAAGAAACTAAAGAAATTGTCTGTTTTTTATTTTACATCAATATTGTAATAAACCAAATCAAAGCTAACTTCGTTTTAACATGTCATAAATAAATACTCCTATGTCATTGATTTAGAGGTAAAAACATATCTTATTTATTACTCTGCAATTAAAAGTTTTATTATAAAAGAGAGCGTAAAAATTATTGAATTGAGAAAGAATATTATCATTAAATCAAAAGTTTCCTTCCCATAATCAATTTGTTCCAAATTTTCATATCAAAATATTAATTTTACATTTTCTATACCTTAAATTAAGTGGCATATTAAATTATTAAGTGTCAAACGAGATATAAAGTTTTATTTATATGTGCATAAACAATGTTACATGTTATATAGAGTTGTAAACGAACGAATCGAATATTATAAAATTTTATTCGTATTTGAAAAATGGTACTAGTATTCATATTCATGCTCTTTTTTATTTGAATAATTAGTACTATTCGTATTTGATTCGTTATTAAATTCAAATATTCGGTTCGTATTAGTAGTTTTTCATAAAATATGAGTACAAATTCGGAGTTTTTTTTACGTTTTATATCTTTAAATTTTTAGGATCGTAGCGTTGAAGTACAAAAAGATTGCTCAGTTGCATGACGACCATTAACAGAAGTGCTTTTGCTTAAACATAAAATGAAATGACAAAGTGTACTGCTCTTGTAGTTAACTAGTGATTTACTTTTATGGAATACAAACGTATGGTATTTGGTCTTCTTATCAATTAATCCATATTTCAATTCATACTTACACATTCATTTAAAATTATTTAAGTACTTCCTTTTTTACATTGTGCCCAAAAACAAAATGTGTACTATCAAGTATTAACTATGAATGCTACAGTAAAAACAAGCTACAAAGTACTATATATACTATGTATCATACTTTGTATATATTACGAAACAATATATTCATTATAAATTTTTATATTTACATTCAAATATATTCGTTAGCATATCAAATCGAATGCATATACATTCGTATTAGTATTTGTTTTCTTTCGAATTCTAATAATTTTTTATATTCTTATTCGTATTCATTATTCGAATACGAATAATTGATTTCGATTATGAATCATGAATTGAATCAAAATTTTTCATTTATTTTACAAGTTTACATGTCAACTTGTAACTATGTCACATGTTAATTCTTTAAAGTTTGAAATCTAAAACTTATATACTCTGTATAAAGAAAGAATATGAAAAATAATTTTTTTAAGATGGAATAAAAGAGAAATGTAGAATATTACGGAGTACGAGTTGTCCTACTCAGTAATAGAGTATTCCGTACGCTTTTGATTTTTTTTTTGTATTTTAATACGAAAACTCCTCAATTTTTTCCTCCTGGTTTTTCACAATCACAGGCCCGCAGCCAATTCACTTCAAGAACACCATCCCTCCCACCGTGATAATCACCATTGATGAAAATGGCGGCTTTCCCCCAATTCTCTTGAAGCCGTTTCAGGGGGCGAAACAGAAATTACAGAACCGAAAGCAAAACCCTTCTTTTTCCCGCCTCAGCCGATACCAAGAAGGGCCACGCCGAGTACCCATCAACCGAAAGCATTGTCAAAACCCTTTGTTTACCCAGGAAGATGTAATTTCTCCCCAGATTATCGAATTCTTTGATTCGAATTTCCAATTTTTTTAGGGTTTATCTACTGGGACCCATTTAATCTATACTGCATTTCTTGCCCTCTCGACAGTGGAATTTTGGACTCAAGATCGACGATTGGAGCAGGTGACTGGTTTCAAATATGGTGAGTGAATGGTTCATGTTTCTTACGTGTGTATTTTAGCCAGCACACTCTAATGGGCATATTTGTTCCAATTTCATCAAACGTCAAAACATCAATTATGTTTTTTTGTATGTTCTTGGATTGTTTTCGTGCTTGTTCTCAGGTTAGTTGATTATAGGTTTGAGTTTATTAAGCGGGGGCTGTGGGGCACTACCTACTGACAAACTGTTGGGGTTGATTTACAAAAATTTAATTGATGCATGTGTGTAAATAGTGGAGTGATTTGTCTTTTTTTACAATGGTGATTCTTCAATAGACTCTTTCCCCGCTTCAATGGGTAGGTATTTATTAAATTAATTTCATTTTTAGTTCAAGTTTAGTTGTTATCTTATGTTGTTGGTTTTGGTATATAGGTTTATGTTGTACTCATTGTTGGGTTATTTGTTGTTGACACTTTTCTTTTAATAGGATATCAGAAAGTGGTTCATCAAGAAACATGACAACGGCATTGACAATGCTTCAAAGTCTGTGAAACCCTCTACACTAGATAAACCATCTTCTGATACTTCAAATCCAGGGAAACCGGTAAATAAACATTGCTTGATTTTTTTACACAGTGTTACTCTGTAAAGTTGTGTAAAATGTTACCTTTTAATATTTTACACAACACTAGTCAATGTTAAGTGTTACTGTGATAGTTTTTACTTCTTACTCAGTAAAAAACAGTGTGATCAGGAAATGGTATTGCGGTGGGTGTGGGATTTTTCCATTTAAAAACCTTTAGGTTAATACTATCTTGATAGATTTACTTGTTACATTGGATGCACGATATTATAACAATGGATAGCATCCATATACCATAGCCGGATGATAATGTATATAGATGAAAGTAGGTCAAGATCATGTGATACTGCATATTTTTGCTTATAACAGAAGTTGATCTGAATGTTATAAAGATTTCTTTTTCTTTCCTTTCGGTGTGGTAAAGCTCCGGGAAGGACAGGAAACTTCAGGGAGAAGGAAAACTAGTAAGTACTTTGCAAAAGATAATGCCAGAGAAGAGGAGGTTGTGGAATTGTCTTCCAAGAGAAAGGCTCAAAGAGATAGTGAAGAATCATCTGACAACGGTAAGCCACCCCCTCACAAGAAAGTCCACAAAGCTGGGGATGATGATGATGATGATTTTGTCATTCCTAAACCTGGGAAGAGTTCTGCTGACATCACCCCTAGCAAAAAAATAAAAAGTGGTTCTGGCCGCGGTGTTCCTAAAAAATCTATCGATTATGACAATGATGATGGTGGCGGCAGCGATGGTGAGGATACCACGCCTAACCAAAAATCTAGTGGAAGGGCACGTGGTGGAAAAACTACACTAGCAGGTCGTGCGAGTGGGAGGAAGATGGATGTTGATAAAAGTGATGATGATGAAACTGATGAAAAGGCTATAAAACCCTCAAAGCCTGGCGGACGAGGTCGTGGAGGAGGAGCTGCAGCAGCTCCTGCCAGTGGAAGAGGCCGAGGTGGAGGAAGGGGTGGATTCATGAGTTTTGGCGAAAGGAAAGATCCTCCTCACAAAGGGGAGAAGGTAGGCTCTTTTTTAGAGGCTGCTATTCTTCCCACACTTCATATTCATTGACAAAAAATTGATCTGTTTGTCAGGAAGTCCCTGAAGGTGCCCCAGACTGTTTAGCTGGGTTGACGTTTGTCATTTCTGGGACTCTGGACAGGTATAATATCATGATATTTTGTCTGCTAAAATTCAAGTTGAACAGGAGATAGCCCTATTCCAACCGGGGTGCTTGTTTCTCTTTGATCTATATTGTGGTGGTTTTGATTAATGTTCACACTGTTAAATGTGGTTGTTTGGAAAAAAGTCAGGTAGAGATGGTTTTGCTTTTGATCATTCTTTTCTAGTTTCATCCTATTTGTGTCTTGGTGGAGAAGGTGCTTTAAATGGGTCCCATTTCAAAGGAATCTTGTCATTCCTGCTATTGTTTCTGCCTTTAGCTCTCTATCCATCACCGTCCCGTCTTGTTCAGACCTTTTTTATGTCCACTTTTTCCAGAACAACACAAAGAATGCATCATATGGTTTTTCTTCTGATCATGATGTGGATTCTATTCTTTCTTGGGTCTTTGAAAGTGGAAAGTTCAGTTCCCCTCTTTTCCATCATGAAAGAGAAATTAAAGAATGCATAGTATGCAGTGCTTGATGTCATGTGCTGTAACTCATGTCAAGCTAGTGTGTTCTGCTGACACCATCTTGTTTCTAATTGATTGGTATTTGGTAACCTGCCCGAGTGACTGGATTTTATTTTCTGTTTTTTATTATGTGGTTCCAGTTTGGAAAGAGAAGAAGCCGAGGATTTGATAAAGCGGCATGGTGGTCGTGTTACTGGATCTGTTAGCAAAAAAACGGTCATCATTAAATATGGGTTCTTATATGTTTTTATTTTTCTAAGAAGTTGAAGTGTTTATATTTGTTTATAATGAATAATGTGTCTTTACAGAATTACCTCCTCTGCGATGAAGATATTGGGGGGCGGAAATCTGAAAAGGCCAAGGAACTTGGGTTTGTATCCATGTTGAATGACGTTACATCTTCTTTCTACATGAAGTATTCATGACTTTTCGTATTTTTTGTTTTCTCCATATAGCACTACTTTTATGACTGAAGATGGATTGTTTGACATGATCCGCGCATCAAAAAAAGCAAAAACACAAGAACCCAAGAAACCTAAAGATGAGGTTCGCCCTTCTCCAAAGGATGAAAGCCCACAAAAACCTGAACCTAAGAGTATGTTTCTATATCCTGTACAATTTATTCATGTTATATGTTTGAGTACATAAAATATAATGGTCTTTGTCAGTGGAAACATATCCAGTTCTTTTTTCCTGATGCCTTGTCTCACGGTGGCTGAAATAACAGTTTTTTCTTTTGGACACCTGATTTTGGTTGGTAGAGGTTCTCGAAGAATACTTTACTATGAGAAATCTCCATACTGTCGTATATTTTGTTAAAAAATACGGAGTAAATATTATTGTTGATTATAGACTGAAGTTACTGTTTGGTTCATTTTTCTTGTATGGGTTTGGAATCTCGAATGGGCTTTAGAAGGTTTGAGATAGCCAAACTGGAGGGTGTTGGAGTAAGAGTAAAGGAGTTTATAGAATGAGTTTGGGGAATCATTTTTGGTGACATGGGTACCAAAGAGCACACCAGTCACCTCTCGTGATTTACCATGTATTGCAGATTTGCAGTAAAAGTTTTTATTACAAAATCACACACTTTATGCAGAAAGCGTAGCTACCAAAGAGCACATCAGGGTCACCTCTCCTGCCAAGAGAAATAACCAATCTTCAAAAGATTCTTGTTTGCCATGGACAGAAAAATACCGGCCAAGGAATCCAGACGAGTTAGTTGGGAACCAGTCATTGGTATAATTCTATCTTTTTTCTGCTCTTTTTTAAACATCACCCCCAACTTCAACACTTTGGATTTAAGGGTTTGGAGGAAAGGGGAGGGAGGTATTTTTTTAAATTTAAGCTAGGCTAAAAAAATTAAAGAAGAGGAAAGCAATGTAAGATAAAAGAATAAAAACGTAATTAAAGACTTTTAATTTCTCTTTTCCTTTGTTTTAAAATTTACTTTCAGGAAATTTTGCTCTCCTCCATTCCCTCCAAATTCCTCAATTGAAGCATAGCATAACTGTGAGAGTAAAAAAACTAGAAATTAATCTGCTGATTAAGATTTTATTTTTTTTATTGTTTTTATTCTCTGCTTTGCTGCATGCATTGGATTCTGAAATTACCAAAGTACATACGTGCCAACATTTTTTACTAATACAGGTGAAACAGCTCGAAGATTGGCTTACACATTGGAATGAGCAGTTCCTAGATAGTAGCAAGGGGAAAGGGAAGTCAAATAAACAGAATGATGTTGCTAAAAAAGCTGTTTTATTATGTGGAACACCTGGTATAGGGAAAACTACATCTGCAAAGTTGGTCTGTAAAAAGCTGGGGTTCCAGGCTGTGGAGGTGAGAGTAGATGGATTACAGTTCATATCGATGTCTGTTTTCACATTTGTTAGCCTTCATGGTTAATTTTAACTTTAAGAGTTTTCTTAGGTTAATGCTAGCGACAATCGTGGAAAGGCTGATTCCAAAATTGTGAAGGGTATTGGTGGAAGTACGGCTAATTCCATAAAAGAGCTTGTCAGTAACGAATCTCTTAGTGTTAAAGGAGTCCGGTCAGTACTTCTCCTCTTGTCATTTGTGTGACATGTGAAAAATTGGGAATATATTATTTAGTGGTTGGATTATGCAGCTCTCCACATTCAAAAACAGTTCTGATAATGGATGAGGTTGATGGGATGTCTGGTGGAGATAGAGGTGGTGTGACCGATCTTATTGCTAGTATCAAAACCTCAAAAATACCTATAATCTGCATTTGTAATGACCGCTACAGTCAGAAGCTAAAGAGCCTTGTCAACTATTGTTTACTACTTAGCTTCAGGAAACCCACAAAGCAACAGGTCTTCTTTTGAATTCTTTTAGCTTGAATTTTCTTCCCCGATAAATCTGTGTGATAATCCTCTTCTGTATATGGTTCATTGACAATGGAGCTAAAAGAGTAATCTTGTCAATGTGTTAGCTTTGGGTAATCATTGGACTAAATCAAATTGGCACATTAAACTTCCATTACTTCTTAGTTCTTACTTTCTATGCACTGTTGGGCAGTAAATGCATCAGTGCATCACAGGTCCAAGGGAAACATGCTCTCTGTTTTTAAAGGGATTATTGCCTGCATCTTGACCCTCCAGACCCCAACAAAGTTGCAATTGTACCAGCATTGTTGTTGATTTGTGTACTTGTGTGTTACATTTGAATCATTTCTGGTGGTTATTAAATTGCAGATGGGAAAGAGGTTATTACAGATTGCAAAAGACGAGGGCCTTCAAGTTAATCCGGTACTTTTCTAGTCTTTTGATTCATTGAGTGTAGTACTTTTGTAAAAATAGGTAGTGTTTGGAACTGGCATTTCATTTCAATTCATGCATTTCATTTCCAAAATTTGAATTCTTGAATTTCAAATGACAAGGGGAGGTATATGGATTTCAGATTGAGCTTTGTTATGAATTAGAGAAATTTGACTCAAATCTAAATCCAAATTTTTTAAGTTTCCCAAACATGAAATTTGAGCCAAATCCGGATCTGAAATCCAAATCTGAGTTCCCAAACATACCATTGATTTATTTGTGTCCTTTTAAAGCTATAGCTCTGTTAACATCCTTTTTTATCAACGTAACATCATTCTGATTCATGCAATTGTATAGCGTAGGGTTCAAGATACTCCTTTTTTTATCAATGTAACTTCATTCTGATTCATTTTGAAGCTTATTCTATTTCGTGGTAGTCTTATACTCCCTGTCCCACAATTGATTACAATATTTACTATTCCAAAATCATGATAACTTTTGTTTATTTGTGCCTTTTCATTGATTATTTGATAAAATACAATATTCTTGTCACCTCTTGTTTTGTTAAACCATTGATATAGTTTTTAAATAGGCAATTTTTATATTTTATTTGTCTCAAATCTCAATCTTTAAATAAAATGAATTGAAAAAACTTGGGAGTTTTCTTCATTTTCCGCAATTTTTAATCAAAATAGGGACGGACGGAGTATGATTTATTTTACTTATTTGGATCCAATTATCTTTGAACTGGCATCTATCTTGTATATTTGTCGTATACGATTCTTTTTCATAAGATATGCTCTAAAGGCTGCTGACTCACAACATTAAAACTTTACCACTATCTCTACACTTACACAGATAACACTCAATGAGAGAACATTGAAAGGATAGGATCCTTTGCCCGGAGCTAAAACAAATGCATGAAGCGGTCTTGAATGTGCTTCAATAAGATTAGAAGAATGTCTGTCTTTAAAAGTTAAAACTCTTTTTATTTTGTAAAGGAGAACAAAAGTAAACTGTTTTTTTATCTTTGCTTTAGCCAGACATGGTTACTTAATTCCATGGTCATATTTGTGAGAGTTTTTACCATGTGTGCCCGTTTCTATGTTCTGTTTGTTATTAAATCATTGGTTTTTGTTCTTTTAAGATTGCAGTTGAGGAATTGGGAGAACGATGTAATGGTGACATGCGCATGGCACTGAACCAGTTGCAGTATATGTCTCTTTCCAAGTCTGTAATCAATTATGATGATGTCCGACAGCGCCTCCAAACCAGCTCAAAGGATGAAGACATGTCACCTTTTACGGCAGTTGATAAGTACGAGTTATTCAATATTGGCCATGCGTTCATGTATATTGCTCTATGTAATGTGTTAGTGGCAATGTCTCATCACAAATTCATGGTCATTTATCTTGTCTTCCTAACAAGACGCATTCTCACACGTTTGACTAACTGATGTGAATGATGTTCATATTTAATACATCGTGTTTTGTAGTAAAGTTTACTTCATATTCAGTCCTGTACAATAAAGAAATGTCACATTGTGGTTTAGACCCTAAATTTAAGAGTACAAGTAGAATGTATTGGACTTTTCAAAAGTATATCAGCAATGCTCCTTCTGTTGTCTTTGGAGCACAAGTGATAGTCTTATTATACTGTAGTTGCACTAATCTTGGCATATTCCTAGGTGATGGTCTAATTAACGTACATTACATTTGTGGTACAACAATAAGATAAAATATCTTATTTATTTGTTCAGTATGAGTGAACCAGTGTGCACGGATCATGAAACCAAGCCTCTTTATAGAGTTTGACCACTTCTATTTTTAAATTTCTTCAAAGATGTGTCCTTCACTGATATTGCATGTGTATTCCATCATGCAGGTTGTTTGGTATTAACGCTGGGAAGTTAAAGATAGATGAGCGTATTAGCTTGTGCATGAGTGATCCTGATCTTGTGCCTCTTATTATTCAGGTTATTGTTGACACACCCAAAATATTGGCATAATGTTCTTGGCTTGAAAACTGTTGACTTACATTGTTGTAGAAACTTCGTGTTTATCTGAAAATTAGTATCCATCATAATGACTAATGATCTAGCTGGTTATGATCCATGTTTTCAGCAATGTGGTTTTAATTCTATACTTGGGACAATTGTCGTTTTGATTTTGCGAACTTCAGTAACTGAATGATAACTAGCTCACTATATGTTTTGTGTAGTTGATTGTAAGACTCAGTTCCCGGATAAAAAAGAATCATTTTAACAGCTTCTAGATTATAAGCATATTGGTGATGGAGTCTTAAGTTACACTGACCTTTTTGATTGCCTCGTAGAGTCGCAGTCTATGTTGTGCCTAACATGGTTGATGACACGATCTCATGAATGTTCAGGAAAATTATATCAATTATTGTCCAAGTTCTGGCGGGAAAGATGATAATGGATTGAAAAGGATGAATTTGATTGCTCGTGCTGCTGAGTCTATTGCTGATGGCGATGTAGTGAATGTACAGATCAGAAGATTTCAACAGTGGCAGCTCTCACAAATGGGCTCCTTGGCCTCTTCAATAATGCCGTAAAAATCACAACTTTAATCTCAGTACTGCATAACTATATTCTGGTTTTACTCATTCTATAATTCACCTTGGAATCATATGAACTTTTTTTTGTGAGATAGTGCTGCTTTGTTGCATGGACGTAGAGAAGTGCTAGAGCAGGTATATTTGCGATTCTCTGTTATACTGTCATTATTCACTTACTCTTTTCAATTATAAAGTGATATGTTCTTTGTGTGTAATATTTAACTTTTAACTCGAACTGGCTTTATTTGTAGTTTTGTACTCCCTCCGTCCCATAAAACCTTTCTCCTTTCTTTTTTTACCCCTTACTTTTTCATGCCCTAACTATCACAGCATACCTTTTTACTAATAATCTATCCATCAAATCATACTTTTACCCATCACATCAAAGGACATTTTTGGAAATTCAATACCAAAATACACTCCCCTTAAATCCCTCCTAAAAAGCAAAACTCCCATGGTTCACGGGACGGAGGGAGTATATTTTTCAAGCATTTAAAGCAATTATCTAAATATATCTATCCACTGCACTTGACTTGGAAATGGCCTCTCTGTTTTTGTACACCTTATCACCAAGACTCCAACAGAGTTGGGATTATACTGGGTTTCTGGTTGTGCTCTGACTTGGAAAGCCCGAATTTCGTCAATGCCAATTTAATTTGACTAGAAAAATCCACTTTAATGCCAAACAAATTGACTAGATTTCAGTTATATGCTGTTGCAATGAAGGATTTGGTTGGACGCTAATACTCATATTGGGTGTGTTCACTTGATAATGCCAAACAAAGCCCACAACATTTGTAGGAAAGTGTAGGCCCAATACATTTGATTATTTGGTGTGGTAGCCGAAATATATTGCCTGATTGTTTCAAATAAGCCATTTTCTTTAATTCATGTATAAGATTGGTACGCAGAAATAGAATTAGAAGACAAGCAAGTAGAACTTGTTTTGCTGGTTTTTAAGATCACAAGTGAAATTTTCTGACAATTAAAAACAGGGCGAACGCAACTTCAACCGGTTTGGAAGCTGGTTGGGGAAGAACTCTACAAGGGGAAAGAATTACCGTCTTCTTGAGGATTTGCGTTTTCATATGCTCGCATCCTCTGAATCTAACTTGGAGAGGTACATGCTCGCGATACATCAATATCACATTATCTTTTGTATCACTCATTCTAATTAACATTCACTTTCTCTCTCCTCTGTGCCCTGCTGTAATATTCTCTTGTGAGTAACGGCTCTTCCTCGGAGTAGTCGCCTGCACTTCGACTCTCACCGTCCGTCCTCCCTGCCGGTGGTTTAGAAGGTCGTAGGACGGCGGCGGGCGACGGCGGACGACGGCTAGGAGCACAGGTAAGTTCACACCCACCCACACCCCCACCCCTACCCGGACCTAGTACCCGCAGATCCGACCCAGATCCAGCCCGTAGTCGCCAACCCTTCGCCGCCGACCTGTCCCCCAGCTCGCCGCCTACTTGTGCCCCATCTCCTACTCAAATCCATCCCTCTACCGCCGGCTATCCCTGTCGTCGAGGATCCCCCCTCCCTCCT